GTCTCCAAGTGTTCTAGAAATAAAAACCAGATGAATAATACAATAAAACTGCTATCCTATAAGAAGCCTGAATAACGAATTACTTAAAAATTTCACCATCTGCTCTCATTGAAGCAGCAAGATGGACGCGTTTTCCCATTATGAACCACAATATTCAGAATGTAACAGAATGAGAAATGCAAACATCTTTCCCCCCTTTCTCATTTGCTATGGTGGTTCTTAATAAAAACTTCAGCTATACAAACAAAGGAAAGGGAAGGATACTCCCCCGCCCTATCTCCTAATTGAGTGCTTATATCCAGTAATAGCTTTTTGCTGCCGTGGGCAGCATGACATTGCTTCATTGGCCATGAACAGCAATTATTCTAGGAGTCGGCTAGTGAAGTGCTCCAATACATCTGCTCACTTTTCATGGGCTGGTGCTTTCCTTGATGTTGACAGCTGTCTTAATATTCCTGGGCCACCTGCCACACAGCAAATACTGTGCTCTAAGACATATACGACGTTATCCCTCTGGTGGACTTCTCAGAACAAAAAGCTTAGCATTTCTAAACTATATTTGCATCCTTGTTTAAATGCTTGGGCATCAGCACTTTCAGTGCATTCTGGTACTTTTGAGGTATATAGTGCTGATGCTTTGGGAGTTACAATGTAATAGACTTCAGGTTTCCTGACATATCAAATAAGCTATAGAATTACAGACTTTATGGAAGTCATGATGGTCACACAAGGTGGAGATAAAGAGAGAATACTCACAGCTACCTCCTGTAAGTAAGACTTCCTTGAAAGAGAGAGAGAAAGACAGAAAGATCTCTTAGATCTATATATAAAGATATACATATCTAGAAATAGAAAGATATGTATCTAGATACATGTAACTTACACATTCCCTTAGAAAGATGTGCCCTGTCATACCCTCTTTGCTCATGTTTTCTCCATCAGACATACTCCTGGAGGGAAAACATGGTCTTACTCATCCTTGAATCTCTAAGAATGAACATGTATCTGATACGTAGTTGGCATTCAGGACAGAACTACATTTTGTGGTATCTGAAGATTTTACAACTTGGGGGGTCCTCTTTAAATAGAAATAATATAAAATTAAAAATAAAGATCAAATGCAAAAGTGAATAAAAATCATGTAAATTATCAATTTTAAAAGGTTGACTAATATTACAAATATCAGAAAGTCTAAAAAATATTTTTGTCCATTAACTGTCCAGTATACCTCTATAATACTTGTGGTATTTTATATTTTTGGTGGTACACATTTTGATAGACTTCCATATGACAATTATTTGTACTATCATTTTCTAAACATATAATGGGAAGGATTCAATCTAGAAGAGCTATGTAAACATGTAACACTACATACTCACACTCACTGTGTGTGGTACTGCCACAGGTTTGTGCCTACAAACCAGGATTCTGATGAATTCTATTTTACTTGACTTTTATTAAGTTTGGTGTACTTACAGTCATAAAAATTGTGTACACTACATTATTGAACATGTTATTGTTATGAAATTATGTTAATCAAAAGTGGTTCTTCCTCTTTCAGTTTTGTCTTTTGATGCCTGTAATAGTTTCCCACAAGTTGCCTTTTGCTACATTTCAAATCTTGTTTCACCTCCACTACCCACATTTTTGGAGTCAGGAGCCTTAGGGTATGTTTATATTTTGAATAGGATCTCTGGTCCTACATCTTGGGTGGAATGCTTGCTGTGTTACACAATAGATAAATTGGAATGTATGCAATAACTCTGGAGAAGTTTACAACCACATAAATATATCCCACCAAATGCAAACTAAATGTATTCCCAACTCGAATTCCCAAGCCAATCCCAAAATGCCCCCAATAACTCCAATACCAACTGACTCTAGGAATGGTGTGATGGAGGAAAATCCAGGTAGAAAGGGCTTGTGGTCTTAGTGAACTTCAGTTAAAACATTTGCTTTTGTAAATGTCATGAAAACACAGGTACATGTGATCACATTCCTGAGTTCACGTTGCAAAAGACTGCTAGGGAGGGGCCTTGCGGCTTCAGCTCCAACAGCTTCACAGCAAATGCGCTTCTACTGTTGGTTCTCATTAAATGTCTTCCGAACAACTGAGCAAATGAAGACAACTGCACTAAATTAGCATCTCTAGTATCCTCACGACTACCACATGTTTACAGGCTTCCTAATTCAGTCTTAGAACTTAGTATTCAGAAGTGTTATTATGAGTTCATAATATAAGAATACATGACATCTAGGAACTGAAAAATATTAGAAAAGTAAATAAAAATTTAGGAGTCACTGTCTTATGGCTTTAAACTAACTTTTCATGGACAAAGTTTTCCTTAATGGATGCAGGGCACCATAAGTATTACACTTCAGTCCAGTTCTTTTTTCTACCACAAAGTGGAGATTAGATAGTCATTGTTTCTTTCATGAATTAGTTGCTTTAGAGAAAAAAAAATATATATCTCAATCATTGGTCTATATTGCCCAACTGTTAGTTTAAGGACCTCTAATAACATTTATATTATCATATATGGTTTCAAGCTATCCATTAATAGAAGGGATTCTAGCTGGATGGCCATTAACATGATTTCTACTGTTCACAGTATCACCACCAACACTTGAATGTTTTTATGAAGGATCTTATGCATCATGATTCTGATGCCTTCTCATTCAGCAGGGATAGTGGCTATTGAAGAAATATGACTATGACAGCATTTTCCTTGACAGCTATTTTTTGGAGAGATTCTTATTCTTAGAGAAATGTTATTATTAGTTAAAACCATTACTCAGTAATCAATCTTACTGGCTCCCACCCACTTTTATCCTTAGAAAAACTTTGTGAACGATCCCCCCTATGGACAGACATTAGGGGTATAAACTGCTTTGGTTACAGTACAGTGGGAAACACATCTGGTAGTCACTTAACTTTCTTTTGGGGAGATAATTCTCTGGGCCTTCGAGCTGGAGGGAACAGATTGGTTCATATTCTTCCTTGCTTTCCTATTCCCTGGGCTTCCTGGGCTTCTCTGAACCTTTAATGGAGATTCTCCCCTAAAACAATAAGGTTAGAATTGGGAGATTTACTTGTCTTATTCTAGTATATTATTCTAGCCTTCTCCTATTTTTTCAGACTTTCAGAGAAGGCAGCAAGATTTGCAAAAGAGAACACAGTGGTCAGTCTTGAGAGATGGTCTTGGATAAACCCAGTTGAAGGAAACGGGGCTGATTTAACTTTGGTGGGTTAAATGGAGCCTGAACAAATTAGGGTGAGTGCCTTGGGCTCTGTTTCAGTTAGTAGAAACCAAGGAGCTTCTAGGAGGCAGCTTTGGGGTGGCAGAGAGGCTCAACAGCCACCAACTGGTGCTGAAATAACCTGGAGCTTACAGAGGATGAAGCTACTCGTAAACAGCCTCCTCCTCCAAAGTTAGAGGGGTGGCCCTAAGAGAGGTTTCTTCCTGTCCCAATTCAAAGCTGCCTTGGACATTTCATTTTGAAGTCATTTATTTATATAAGACCTTTATTGAACAAGCATGCCATATCACTTTTCTGATTTCTATACCCTTTGAGGGGTAGTTTAGCTTTAAAATTAACTGAAACGAACCCCCTGGGGTGAATGGCTCACAATGCTTTCTGTACTGGACACTAGAGTATAAAAAATAAAAAATAAGAAAATCCATATTACTGCATCAGTGAAATAAGTCAGACACAGAACAAATACTATGTGGTACCATTTATATGATGACTCTAAAATAGTCAAGTTCATGAAAGCAGAGAATTGGAATGGTGTTTGCCAGGGGCAAGGGGAAGAGGCAACAGGGAGGGGTCTGTCAAAGGGCCCCAAGTTTCAGCTATGCAAGTCCTAGAGTCCTATTGCGCTGCATAGCGCCTACAGTCAATGCTACTGTATTGTATACTCAAGATATGCTAAGAGGGCAGATCTTAAATGAAGTGTTCTTATCACAGAATGTAATAATAAGTAAGAGGGCAGGAGGAAACTTTCTGAGGTAATGAATAGGGTGATAGCATAGATTGTAATGATGTTTTCACAGTATACATTTATCTCCAAACTCATCAAGCTGTCTACATTAATTAGGTACAGCTTTTTGTACTTACAAAAAGTTTTTTGTGAAAAACTAAAAAACAAAAATCCATACTACTGTGTTGTTTCAGCACTTAGAAGTTCGAATCATACTTGTTGTTTTAAAGATTTTACTTATTGATTTTTAGAGAGAGAAAGGGAGGGAGAAAGAGAGGGAGAGAAACATCAATGTGTGGTTGCCTTTGGAGCACCCCCTCATGGGGACCTGGCCCGCAACCCAGGTATGTGCCTTGACTGGGAATTGAACTGGTGACCCTTTGTTTCACAGACCTGTGCTCAATCCACTGAACCGCACCAACCAGGGTGAATCATACTTGTTTTTTATCATGTCGGGTTTTGTATGAGGGTTCGCATAGCAGTAGCATGTAACATGAAGTATGAGAAATTTAAAGCACATCTGGCTTAGGAAAAAAAGTTACTCCACACGTTAAGTAAGCTAGCCGAACAAGAAACGGGTCATTGACAAACCCTGAGAGGCAGCTCCTTCACTTCTGAGGCCGGACCCTAGGGTAACCTCCTCATTTGCAGGTTGGGTGAAAACTCGGAGGACCTGTTTGTTAGCTGCAAAACAGCTCAGGTCACTCTGGCACTGCAGTTTAACAGGTGCTTTCACAAATGTTAGTTCATAAACCTCTTTTATGTTCCATGCAGTAACTGGGGGCTAGAAAACAAATCAGTAACAGAAAGTCAAAATTGAGCGCTAAGCCAAATAGGCTGCAGCCGAAACTCGCTTAGGCGGGTGGCCTGTTCCTGGGGGTCTCGGCCGGTGCCTACAGCGAGAACCCAGAAGGAGGGACAGGGCGGGGCAGAGGCCTCTGGCTCCTCCCCTGGGCGGGCCAGCGGGGGCGGCAGGCGGAGCCCCTAAGCCGCACTTGGAGCCACAGCTCTGGGAGTGCGAGGAGCACGCACCATTCCCACCCGGATGGACGGAGCCACGCCGGCAGTCCGCCCTGGGTCGGTGTAGCCTTCCCCGGGTCCTGCGGTGCCTGGCTGGGCTACAGACGCAGGGCACCACCCTGCCCGTTCTCCGCAGACGCCCAGGACTAGCAGTCGCGCCAAGGAGATGTCCGGTGGCCGGAGGAGGGGTGGCGCCCCCTGGCACAGCCTCTCCCGGTTCTTTGCTTCCCGGAGCCCTTCCCGGGACAAGGAAGAGGAAGACGAGGAGAGGCAGGGGACCAGCCACTCGCCAGCTGCAGGCTGGGGCACTGCCAGGTGGGAGTCTCGGGGCGTCCGGGATGGGGGCCCTGTGCAGACTCACGGGACCGGGGCTCCTCGTCTGCCCGCCTGCCCGCCAGCCCAGTGCCAGCCGTGCTCCTGCCTGGCTGCACTTGGCTCGCCACTTTCTGTTCTCCTTCCTCCATTGCTAAAGTTTCCTCCTCCTCGCCCAGTTCCTGGACCGAATCTGTCCCTTCTCCGGGGTTTGCTAAATGTGTGCGCAGCTGGCGGCTGGAGGCCGGGTGCATCCCCTGTGGGCCCTGCTCAGCCAGTGCGCTCCCCACCTCCCTCGGGCAGGGTTCGGTCCCCGTCGGCACTGGTGTCTACTCGCTGCTCCAGGGGCAGAATTGAGTCCCCCACCGGCTGGAATGGGAAACCGAAGTGAGCAGCGGAGCCCTCAGCCGGGGTCGAGGGGAAGGCAAAGCTTGGGGCCGCCACCCCGCAGCTGCTATTTTGCCGGCTTATTTAAATGTTCTCAAAAAACGATTTTTTAAAAAATGGTGACATTGAGTTTCCAAGACTTCACCAACGTATGAAAATCTCGCTAGTTTTATTTACCATTACCTGGACGTTTAAATGGTGCTGCCTCCCTTTCTTTCTTTCCTATCTCTCTTCGGAAACCTTTCCTTTCCCAAACAATCCAGAAACTAGTACTCGAACTGCCTGATTTCAGTCATGAAAACGTGTCCCTTCTCTGTAACCTTTTCTCCTTCCAATACCTGCTGTAAAAATCAATTTTTTTAGACGCGTCTGATTGAAAAAACCCTTTTCGGAGTCTTTTCACCCGTCCTGAAGGAGGAAGAGGGGTTAAAAGTAAATTCTACTTCCCATTTTAAACTGTTGGTGAGAAGGGAGACTTAAACTCTCTCCTTCCCCAAATTGTGCTGGAAGAGTGTGTAACCCATGTGATTGGAAGGACGGGCTTCAGAAAGCTGTATTATAAATTTCATATTTAAAAGACTTCTTAGAGAGCTTCAAAGAAAACTGGATGGGAAAGAGAACTGTAATTGTGACTGAGCTGGTCCCATTTGTATTTGTTTTGTGATTTGATTTAGTCGGTTTTGTGTTCCTCAGTTTCCCTACTTGTGGAACCTTTGCCTTATTACCATCTGTTAATAAAATCCCACATCTTTTCAAGAAAGCTCCTACTAAATTGGTAGACTTCTCCTGGAAAGTTTCAGCTCTTATTACCGTGACTGTTAATGGAGAATTTAAAGTGCAAAGTTACACAGTAGTTAAAAATAGTTGTGAAGTCTGACAGGGCTCAACCAGAATGTCAGATCTGCGGGTGTGGGCCGAGAGCCTGAGGTGCTTGCCATCACTGGGAGAACATGACAATCTCATATTATGGAAGCAGTGTTTAAAAGAAATCCCAGGTAGACTCAGCAGAAGGTGCAAACTCGAGTTTTGGCAGAAAAGAAGAGGTAGGCCAATTGCAGGTTCCTATCAGAGTTGTCCTGAAACCCTGCCTGCCCTTCTGCACTATTTTGGCTTTTAGACATTTCTAAAATCTAATCTCTCTGGAGCTAACCACTCTACCAACTAACTAGTCTCTTGCCTACTTACACTTGTCTACTCTCATTACCTCCAGACAGGCACACCCTGTGGCTTTTTGACAATGAAAATTTTAATTGTGTTTATATAAACAGTAATTTTGTCCTCATCTTTTTAAGAATTTGCCAGATGTTATGGGGATAGCAGACAATCCTTTGTGTGGGTGTTTTACCTTTTATATGAGTTTAAATCTTTCTTTTCAAGGATATAAACACAAACAAAGCCTTTATTGAAAGTTTCATGAAACAAATGGAAATGCTTAGTGGTACCAAATGTCAGAGTAACACAACACCCTGGTGTTAACAAGATTGGAAACAGAATTGTGATTTGTCACTGTGATCTTATTTCAAAATGAAAGGGTATTTTGGCTGTTTCTCTTAGAGACAGTAAAAACTTTTAATTTAGTGGGAGCCAGGTTTATCTTTTGTACTGGTGATTTTAGATGCAGAGGAGTCCATTCAGACATGCATTGGTTGGTGTGGTAAGGATATAGACCTTCCATGGTGTGCTGTAAATTATCTGGACTTCATGTGGTATGAGTACATCATTTGTGTATTGAGTTTGCTGCTGTTCTAGTCTCTTAATTAACCCTTAGCAATTAAAGAAGCCTGTTAGCATTGACACTTGTATATGCGAATTCCAGCGTGGGCACTCCAGTTGCTTGTCTTAGCACTCATCTCTTAGGTGGTTGGCCAGATCCAGAAAGTGCTTATATTCATTTATTTTAGATTATGCAGGGGTTAGCAAAAGTAGATTTATAGTTGTTCCTATGGAAAATAATACAATAATTAATAATACAAGAATAAACTCTGTTTTGCATACTCACAACCATAAGCCTACTTTTGCCCATCACGGTATAGAAAGGAGAACTGCAATTGAGATTTTATATAGGATACTTGAGGAAGGCTAAGTTCTGTGGTCCCAGTTTGAGAATCACTGCTATCATGTTTAGCCCAGTTTATGGCAAGTGGGAGCAGGCTCATTAGAAGTGATGGGGGAGAACATGGGGGGCTTTGTGGTGGACATGGTTTTTAGTAGAGCCTTCAAGGCATTAGTGGTATTTCCTTAGGTAGAGAATTTAGACGGGAAGATAACGATAAATTGGAAACAGGTCTTCTGTGCTGAGCCAGGGCCTGCAGGTGGTTACGGTCGGTTAGGGGCTGTAACAGAGGCAGTGAAAGAGATGGTAAAAAAGTTAGATTGGACCTGGATTGTCAAGGTCTCTAACAGAGTGGGTTGGCTCTTGATTTAAAGTTTAGAAATTTTTTGCAAAAACCTGTTAAACAGGTACTGCTAAAATGTGAAATTTGGAGGAGACCTGCTTTGGGAAAGTGCTCAACTCTTTCTTTGCTGTACCACACATAACAGACCTGTTTGTAATGGACTCTGTACAATGTGTGTGACCCGGGAGAGGGATAGGAAGGTGAGAATAGCATTTATCATGGGCTGCCTGCACTTCTGGACTAGTGCTTTTATTTATAGCATCTCACTTCAACCTCACCCTCAGCCTGCAAGCTTGGTATGCTTACCACTATTCTGATAATTAAGGAAACCAAGGGCGGGAGAGTTCTTAATGGTGGAAACTTCCTCGTGTTGGGTGGAACAATTCTTTGTTGCACTGGACTCGCCTGTCTTCGTCAAGATTTTTAGCATCTGTGACCCTGCCCATTAATTGCCAGTGGCATCCTCCAGTCATTGGAGTAATCCCAAACCCCACCCATGTTAGGGGGAGGGGGAATGATGCCAGTCCCAGTGGACAGCGATTTATCGCAAGATGGGAGAGGAATAAGGGTCAGGGGTGAGATTGGAACATAGGGTTCCCTGGCACAAAAGATCTGCTTCATTTTCTCATTCCATCCTATCCACCATCCTTCTGAGCTATGCTCTGTCAAAGCACATTAATATTTAACTAAACTGGACCTTTCTTTATTTTGATCAAGGATGTGTGGCATTGTGGCCCATCTCAGATATATTCTTTTGGGCTGATCCATTGCGTGTCCCAATATACTGTTATTGATAGAAGGTAAGTCAGCATCACTAGACTCAAAGACAGCGGCTATGTCATTCAACTTGGTGTCTCCTTACCTAGGTCAGGTGAAGAGTGAGATTCTGTTTGTCTATGGGGCCTTAAAGCACTTATTAGTGGTTTTCGGCTAGTACACACCCCATCCTTGAGCATTTAGAAACATGGAGGATCTTAAATGTCTCTAAGAGAGTGTTTGCCTCTCAATTTAAAGTTCAGAGAGTTTTTGCTTATCAACATACCTGAAGTTATTACATGGGTGATGCCAGGATGCTCGTGTCTTGTTGTATAGAAGATATTCTCATAAAAATTGCCAGTAGTGTCCCAACGCATGAGATCTGTTGGCCTTCAAGGTAAAATACCAACCAATGTTGGTACTTTGTATGAGGAAAGGGAGCTTTGTTTTCTGAATGTTCGTGGTGACTCTATTTTCATTGGTTCGAAAGCATTATAGAAAATAGTAACTAATTTAGTTGAACAGGAAATACCTGTGTGGTGTTGAAGGCCCACATCAGCAGTACATACCTGTGGTAATTAAAGGCAACTGGAAAATTCCAGAAGTCCTCAGTGGTGTGTTTTTCAAAGAATCTTGAGCAGGTTAATGGAAAGCACAGAACCCACTCCTGGCAGTGAAGTAGAAATATGGGCTGTTTCAGAGTGATGAAACTGCAGTATTTTTTTCCAAGTGCAATATCTTTCTTTTGGGTTTAACAGGGTGTGTGGCAGCTGGCTACTCTGAGGGTTCTGTTTCTCACTGAGGGCATTCCTTGAAAATGAACTCAGTCGTTTGCCAGATGTGTCAGAGTTGTACCCGTGCCTCGGATTGGCCTGCAGTAAATTTGTGATCAGAACTTCTAACTGCATTGAAACAGTGGTAGCATTTTTGGTGTTTTCTTTTTCATTAAAAAGGTAATAGCAAATTTTGTAAAGTAAGAGGAGAATATTCCCTCAGGATAAAGTATTTCCTAACTAGAGTTCTGATGAATTACACTGAAGCCCAGATATACCAGAAGTGCTAACACAACTGTGTTAGCAAAACAAAACACAGGTTGATGAAAATGTAAACTCAGGGAAAATAATTCGGGCTCTTTCCTGAAGAGAAGATCAGCATGAAATAAAAGTTAAAGAAGTCATATTTATTTTGAGTCTTTTCAGTCCATTAAATTGAGTGTTTGCTATGTGTCAAGTATAGTGTTAAGCAGTGGGGAATACAAAAATGAATGAATGACCAAAACTGTCCTTAAAGAGGTCATAATTAATGGAGGAGATAAACATGTGTCTCTCTGCTCTCATGATAAGCTAACCCTGTTTTTGGTGTGTGTGGATTGTTTGGTCGAGAACACACTCACTGTTTCATGACTGTTGAATTTTGTATGAGAACTTCAATTGGGCTTTCAAAATACCTTCCCACATTATTAAC